GCACATTGTGCCACTTTCAGCCTGATCCTGTCTGGCTTTCACTGAATTAATGCCTGGAAGGATCTAAGTCCCAGCATCTCAGACCAAGGTGGTTCTGATAATCTTTCCACTGCTGTCCCCTTGCAGCATTTAAAAATCTCCTTGGAAGTGCTGCTCCATGGTGATGGCTGAGCCTCAGAAGCAAAGCAGTGGAGAACATTACTAAAGCAGAATGGGCAAACCCCAGTGGCTTGGAGCAGTTGGCTGGTATACCAAAAGGTATGAAAGCTTCTTCAGTCTGGAACACAGGTGTACCCCAGGCCCCTCTTCTAACCTCAGCCCTTTGCTGCCTCTCTTAATTCTGCAAGAAGTAGCAGGCTGCAGGCACCCATCCCCACCAGCCTGCAGGCCTTCTTGCAGCCAGGCTTACACCTCTGATGTTCTCCCAGCTACAGTTTGTCAAGTCTTGTCTCTCTTTTTCACTGTTTCGACATCTCACCACCCTCAGAACACTTCTGAGAAGGGGAAAAACAATTTCAGAAGTCTTGTCATCAAAAGTTCTTAAAGACCACTACATGACCACCTAAATGATGCCTTCCTATTCTTAGAAACACTGTCTATGCTGCCTGTTTTGTTTCTTTGGGGTAGACTCTGCCTTGCATCATCTAATATATTGTTCTTATTATCAAAATTTAAAACAGTATGGAGAGGTTTTGGACTAGGGTAAGGCTCAGGACACACAGAGATAAATAGGGAGATTGACATATGCTAAATTTGAGTAGTATTTTATCTTTCCAGGTTCACAAATGTTGTGTTATGTTTCCTGGAACATAACACAGAAACTTTAGAGTTCTGGGCACTCTGTAGACACAGAAGACAGATTGCTCCTGCCTGCCCCAGAAATGGAAGAAAAACTGTAAAGTCTAGAGAGGCAGATGACCACGAGTGCTATGCTGGTGGTACAGGGAAGCAGGTGAGCTCCTGGACTTAGTCATGGGCTCCTTTGCCATGTCTCACCAAGGCCACCACTCCCAAAGTCTGTGTCCTGTGGTTAGAAGGGAACAGTGTGTGTTTGTGTGTGTGTGTTCATGTGAATGTAATTGTGTTTCCACATAATGTGGATTATCTTTCTTTTGGCAGCAAATCTGTTCAGGGGTTTAGATAAAAAGATAAATCCTGCAGCCGTTCCCTCCCTGGGAAAGGCCATGTCTTCCATCACTTTCTGTGCTCCTTCTCCTGAGCAGTCCCCAAACACACTTTTTCCTAGCTCAGCATCTGATAGCAGCCTGACAGCCTGCTCACTCTCAGCATGACACTCCCACATCAGGAACGGGGGAAAATGCATGGAATAAGGCACAGCAGGTGAGGTGTTGCTTGGATGAATGGGAAAAGAGAGGAGCTAGGGTACAGGGTGTAGAAGGATGTTGCAGAGGCGTAATCTTCTCACAGAAGGATCCCCCAACAACATTGCCCCATATGGTGCTGATGTGAGGGTGACTCTTCCACAGCTTCCCAGGAAACTCTCCTGGCAGGGAGATCAGGTGTGCTGTGGGTGCAGGACACCTAATAGTTTCCTTTCTTTGGAACCCTGGTAGAGCTGCTTGTCTTAGTGTGAAGACAACCCTGTCAGGAAAAAGAGCTCCATTGATTTAAATGCAAAATTACCCTCCTGCAGTTCTAATTTCCCAGGCGAGGGCCGTACAGGCTCTGAAAACATGAAAGTTGTTGATGTATTGGTTCAATTAATTTTTAAAATAAGTTTGAATGCCATTTGTTTCAAATTTGATAGGAAAGCACTGTAGATTTTTGCAAGCAAAGAGTGAGCTGAGCGTGGATGGGGTGTGTATTTCACATGGCCTTGAAAACAGGGCTTAAATGATGCATTCATTTAGTAGCAGACCTCTGCACAGGGATAAGTGAGGCCCGTGGTGAAAGAAAAAGACCTGAACATCTGTATTTGCTAAGTGGCACTGGCAGCAGTCAGCCAGCTCACAGAGAAGGGCAGACAAACGGGTGTGAGGCCCAGCTGAGACTGCTGGCTCCCTGGTGCTTTTAAAAGGAAATAATAGCTTGTGGGGGAACCCTTTCTGGTGGCCTTGGCTCCCGTGACCCCCCTCTGATGTATGATATTTAAACAAGAAAATGTCAACATTGGTTTTTACACAGACAGCCTCGTTCTGCTCTCCATGAAAACCACTGGCAAACCCCTAAGAGAGCTGGAGGGGAGCAGACCCCAAAAGAGTCACTCAGACCCAAATACTGCTGGCTGCAGCAGCCTGGCAAGAAACAAGTGCAGGTTGTCATGAGTGGCTTGCAGGTAAATTAGACAGAAGAGAAGCAATCCCATCCTGCATGTGCCTCAAAGCTGCAGGTCTGATGGTTTGAATGATTATTGCTTTTTGAAATTATAAATTGCATTTTTGTACAGTGAGTGAGGATAATGTGCTGCTTACTAGAATTAAGTGCAACTCAAGGGTGTTTTGTTATAACAAAGGTGACTTCTCTGTGCTGGCTTTTTTGTAGTTGGGTCTACTGGAGAGTTTGATTTGAACCCGATGGCTGCCTAGCAGTGGTTCTGGAAAGGAGTAACGCCCATTGTATGAGAGGATATCCATAAACTGGGCCATCAGATGTGTCTTCTGATATATGTGTCCTCTGAGGTAGGAAAGTGTAAGTCATAGGAAGAGAGGGCAAGTGTGTCTGACTCATTGTAAAACGAGGGCACGTGGAAAGTATAAACGAAGGGAGGGCTGCTACTAGTAGGACTTGAAGGCTGTGCTATGTGTCATGGGAAAAATAATTTAAGCTAATGGATAATTTATGATTAAAGGGGCAGATGTGGTGCTATTGCATGGTGCAAAATGTGAGATGGGGCATAAGCATAAAAGAAACATAACCCTTGATCCTGAGCTGTCCCTGTCTTGGTGTTGGTTTATGCAGGCTGGGCCTTGACAGGTATTGCAGTAGCAGCCTCCAGGCTCTCTAATGTAATGTGAACTTCATCACAGATCACCTTAGCATAAAAAGTGTAGTTACATTGGCTTTATGCTCTGCCACCACATTCCCAGAGGTAGTGGCAGAATAAGTGGCATGCAAGTCCCTTAAGCATCTCTGTGCAAATGGAGAATCATTCCTACATGGGGACCAGCTTTCCTGGGCAGGTCATAGCTACTTTCCCACTGGGAGGTGACCATGGTGCAGGCCCACTAAGCTCACCCAGTCTCCAGCATGTGCCACAACCTCTGCTAGGGCACAGATCTCAGTAAGGAGAGCCTGGGAAACCAAGTGAGCTAGAAGATGCCAGTCTGATTGCCCTTGGTAGGAAAAGCACCTTTGGTCTGATATGTGACCATGACCAACCTGTATCTCCAATCAGAATCATGAAAAAAGACCTATAATTTGGGAGGAAAATAAATAAAGGAGTGTTGCTCAGGTGTGACTCCTGCTAGGAAGCACAGAGATAGTGTATGAAGCTGAGGCTCAGCCATTTCCTAGAATTTGCCTGTCCTATGTGATTCTTTGCTTTTGAGCATACAAATAATATGAAAAGAGACTGTTGGGACAGGATATTTCATCCTTGCTGTACAAAGCACAGCACAATGCAATCCCAACTACTGCTGAGGCTTTTGGGAGCCTGTCTCGCCCAAATAATCCAGGGCATTTTTGGCTTCATCTCAGGCCACCTCTCATGCAGAACAGAGTCCAGGCTTGCAGCACCCAATGCAATGTCACTCACAGCCTAACCATGCTCAGTGTCCACCTTTTGGAGCAGTGTTCATGAGAAGGTGGACGGGCAATGGGCTGAGGTGTGAAAGCAGACGCTTTGACATGGCTGAAAAAGCCTTCATGGAATCTCTCTGTGAGCTACCTGGGGAGGAGTGTCCCAAAACTGAGCCCCATCACTGTGGCACTGACAGGACTGAACTACCCTGAGTCTTGGAGCAACTTAATGAGGGCTTTGGTGCCACAAGAGACGAACGGGGAAAAGAGGGAATGGTGTAGTGAAGCTCTGCCCACGCTTCTCTGTCGCTGTACATCCAGGGCTAGTTAGTGCCATTGTGAGAATATGCAGCAGTTGCTTCTTACAGACAAAAGAAAAAAGTATGAAGCCCTACTGAAGGCTAGGGCTGATGGAGTGCTGAAAAAGCCCCAGCCAGTAAAACTAAGCTAGCTCTGCACTTTGCTCAAGCTACGCTCAGCACTGTGATTTTGATGAACAACACTAGTCTGCATGAAGACAGGTGACTTTTTAAATGGGGTTTTAATAAAGTCAGCATTGCTAAAGCTATCTATAAAAGTATTCTGCATAGGGTTTTAAACAAGTAAACTTAATTACGCCATTAGTGCTTCCGACATGAATGAGGCTGTTGCTGCAATACTGTGTCCGGCTCTGTTGTGGTGTTTGCATGTTAAAAGTGCATTGGCAAATTAATACGGGATCAGAAGAGAGCTAGAAGAGTGATTCAAGGTCTGGGAATCGCATCTTATTGCAAAAGACTAAAGAAATCCCATCTATTAATTTATCCAAGAGGAGGCTATGACTTGGTTTGATCATAGTCTTTAAGTGCCCTAAGTGTCTCTATGGGGAGATTTCTGATAGTCAAGATCTCTTTAATGTGGCAGACAAAGGCATAATGAGATCCTATGTTGGAAAATGAAGCACTATGAATTCTGAGCAGAAATAGGTACTTTAACAAAAAAAAAAAACAGTGAGGGGACATAACCACTGGAACAACAGAGGCAAGCGGTGTTTTTTCCTGTTACTTAAAAATCTTCAGAGCAAGATTGGATGCCAAGTTAAAAGCTCAGGCAGAATTTATGGGTCTGATACAAGAACGTCTGGCTGAAATTCACTGGCCCATGATATGTGGCAGGTCAGACCAGCTGATCATAACAGTCCGTTCTTGGTTTAAAAAACCTATGAATTAGGTATTTCCAGTCCCCTGAGTCCTGATGTTACTGGAGGTCTCAAAGGAATGCATTATAAGCTGTCATCATTTAATTGTAAGCAAGCAGGGGCATTGCCTTTTCTTTTTTTTATTAATAAACTTATTTTCCAAGAGCTTGTTAGACACTAGAGTTAAGCAGCTGTTAACAAACATGACAACATTTTAGAAACAGTTCAAATAATTCTCCTCCCGTTTGTTCAGCTTTGTTTTGCAGCAGCACAATTTCATTCATGCCACATCTACCAGTGCTTCTCTAGATGAAACAGCAAATTCCAGCAAAATGAAAAGCACAACCTCCATACTTAGGGTGGGCTCCTTACGCTGTGCCCCCTTTCATGTGCATCCCTAAGTCTCACAGACGCGTTGCAGGTTTTCTCTGAGCACCGTGTATGAGCAGAGCAGGGAAGAAGTCCATCCGTTTTCTGGTGCAGGCCCCTCAGATAGGAGGATTCAGGTAGGAGTCCATTGTCTGTCACGGGAGTGCTTGGCCTCCAGAGCTCCTGGTTTGTCTGAGTAAATGGCAGAGAATGAGAAGAAGGTATTAAGGAGAGACCTGACATTCCTGAAATTATGCAAGCTATTAACCTCCTTGAGGTTTCATAAAATGGCCTCCAGCAAATGGTCAGAATGTTTTTCTTACAGGGGAGTAGTTTTCAAGACAGCATAAACTTTCTTAATATCCTTTCAAAGAAAAAAAAAGAAAAAGAAGGGAGAAAAAGAAGATAACACAAAATCCCAGCCATGGCTCCTGGGAGTCTTGAAAATCATATCCACGTTTGCGTAGACATTCTAAACCTCTTATACATTCAGTGCCTCCTTAGCCTCAGTTATCAAAACTGAAACAAGAGGTGGCAAGGAGCGCAGCAGAAGATGGAGTTTGAAGTCGCTCGAGGACTGCACTGCCGTCGACGGGAGTCCTCCGCCGCCTCCCTCCGCTCCGAACCCCGCGGCGGGTTTGATGTGCAGGCAGTGAGTCAGAGGGACGAGGCTCCGCCGCCCGGCCGGGGCCGCCGCCGCCGCTGCCTCCCGGGGCACGGGCGGGGAGGTCGGCGGGGAGCCGAGCAGCGGGGGGAAAGGTGAACCCGGAGCCGAGCGGGGCACAAACCCATTAGTCGCACATAACTTGGGAAGACGCTTGGCCTCGCCATGACAACCGGCGGCCCGGGCTGCTCCCACGTCCCGCCGCCTCCCCCGGGAGCCCCTTTCCGTCCTCTTTCCCGGCGCTTGGGGAATGCGGGGCTGGAGAGACGAGCCCGGTGCGGGTAACAAAAGGGAATGAAAGGAGCTCTGTAGCTCACTTTACACGTCCGAGAGGCATTTTCATGCCCCGTAATGAGAAGGGATCATTCCGAGGAAGTTCAGATCAAAGGGGAGAGGAGAGCGTCCCGGGCATTTGCATAATTGCCGGATTTCGGAGCACGGGCTGCAACCTGGGCACCTCACCGGGGCTGCTCCTCGCTCGCCCAGCGGCTCCGGGGAGCCCTGGGCAGAGGGGAGGCTGCAGATCGCGCTCCCGCGGGGACAGAAGGGAGGCCGGCCCCGGGAACGAGACTGGGAGGCGGCCGGGCCCCGAGCGGGGTGCCGGGGCACGGCTGCGGTGCCCGACGGCAGGAAACCCGCGGGGGCTCCGAAGGGAGCGAGCCCTCCGGTGCGCGGTCAGGCGGTGTCCGGGTCCCGGGGGGCTGCTGCCCTTGTGGAGCTGGTGCTGGGGATCGGCTCCCTGCTCCCACCCGGCGACATCTGCGGCGCCGAGCCAGCACGCTGCCTCCCCGGCGGCCGGCGGGTGGCTCGCGGCCCGGCGGCTCGCACCGCCACCAGCGAGCGGGGATAAAGGGATTAAACGGCACGCTCGTTCCGCCGGCCGGGGGGGCACTTGGCCGGCTCCGGCCTCCCGCTCCCCCCGAACGCCTCCCCCGCCCGCTGCGCCCCCGGCCCCGCGGCGCTGCCCCCGGCCGGCCCCGGCAGCGGGGAGGCACCGGGCGCGCCCGCGGTGCTCATTGTTCCCGTAACCAACCGGGGCCGCCGCCGGCGCCCGCGGTGCTCGGGGCGACGGGGTTCGCCGCGGCTGCTCCCGGGAAGGGGATGCCCGGGGACACCCTTTTCAGCCATTTTAAAACAGCAAAGCTGGCGTCTCGCCGCGGGTGCCCCGTTCCCCCCACTTCTCTTCGGAGCCCGTTCTACGCCCGGACGATCCTGACGGAGACGCGGGGGTTCCCCCGCCCTGAAGTCAGCGGCACCGCATACGCCCCGCACCTGCGGTCCCCGGGCGAAACTCCACCCTGCGCGGACACCGCGCTCTTCCTCAACCCTGTCCTGGGGATCTGGCCAGTCCTGGCCCCTGCTTTCGCCCCCGTGCAGCCAACTCCCGTTCCAGCCCCAAACCGGGATGCAGCCGGGCGCTTCCCCAGCTCTGGCTTGGGCTGCTGCCAGCCCCAGGCCGGGGTGCAACCTCCCCACGGGAGTCGCGGCTTCTCCCTGCGCGGCCGGGCCGGGGCGGGCTGGCCGGGCGCCAGGGAGGTGAGGTTAGCCTCGGAGCTGGCTGGCGGATGGCATGTTATTGTGAGAAGCGAAAAGCGAGCGGGGAAGGCAAATAGGAGCACGGCACCGTATAGACTCGCCACGTGACCGAAATGTGTTTATCTCGCCCCGGAGAAGCCGGGCTGCCTTGCGGAGGCCAACCCTGCCTTCATGGCACAGGCACAACTCCCGTGGCCGCGGACGGTTCTGGGCCCTGCGAGAGACCACTTCTGTTTGCTTTTGCTGTCGCTTCGGCTCTTATCATTTGCCTTGTCATTCATCATCAACCTCTCCCGGGCTCCCTCCCCCTTGCTCCCCCCCACCGCCTCCCCCAGGGTCAGTCGGGAAAAAACTGAGAATCCATCTGAGGAGTGAGACGCGGGAAGAAGGGTTGGATGGTGATGTGGCTGTGTGGAGGGTGTGTGTGTGTGTGTGTGTGTGTGTGTGTGTGTGTGTAAAAGCAGCTGCATGCAGAACAAAGGTGCTGGAGGGTGGCTTTTGGTGCTGGAGGAGAACCTCGTAAATGGGAGATTTCCGTTCACAAGACTCCGCTTGCACAGTTTCTGTCCTGCCCTTGAACTGACAAGTGTGTATCTGCATTGCAACCAGAAAGTAAATCACACGGAGCCTGGCTCGGGGAGGGCGCGCACGACGCCTCAGTCTGTTGCTAAGTGCGAAAAAGTGGAAGATCTCTGCTTCCCAGCGCAGCCCCGCTTCTCCGATACACTATTTACTTTGGGCTCCCAGCGAAACGCGCTCGGTGTTTATTACGGAGAGCGCCGGGGCAAGCTCGCATTTGCGTGATTAGGAGCAAGCGGAGGAGCGGCCGTGGCGCGGAATATCAAAGCGAGACCGCCTTGGCAGGGCTCCCAGGCAGGGCTTTACTGGCACCCGCGGGATTCCGCGGGGCAGGGCGAGCGCGGCCCGGGCGGCGGCGGCGAGCGGGGAGCGGCAGCGGCCGCCGGGGCACGGGGGGAGCCGGCGGCGCTTCGCGGGAGGCCGGAGGCGAGCGTCGTGCCTGGCCTGGGTCCGCGCTAACGAGGCGCAGCGGCCGGGCCGGGCCGGGCTGTGCCCGCGGGCTCGGCGCTTCCCGGCCCCAGCCGCGGCCAGCCGGCCGCTAATCTCATTAGTGCCGTCGCGTTTGGGGAGTAAAGCGCCCGGCGTCCCCGCCCGGCCTCGGGAGAGCAGACAAAGGTCTGCGAAGCAAGGCCCTGCGGCCGTGCCACGCCGGCCGGCCCTGTTAATGTTCAATCGGGAGCTGCAGAGCCGTGCCTCTCCGTGCCGGGGGGCGCCGACCCCCGCCCGCCGCTGCCGGGCAGCCCGCGACGAGGCCGGCCCAAGGTAGCACGCCTGGCCGCCTTGCTCCGCCGGGATATTTTCTCCCTGGAAGTTATGCTAAAATAACATTTGTGTGCACGTTAATGATTTATTTATGTGGCTAATAACGCTCACATTCTCGCTGATATTTGTCTAGGCGAAGGACCAGCTGCGAAATGCCCCGCAGCTGTAGCCAGAGCTAGAACAGAGTGCCTTGGAACCAGAAATCAATGCTCCTGAAATGAACAAGTGGACAACTTATTAGGCTCAGTCACTCCACACGCCGTCCCCTGATAACGAATAGATGAAGTAGACGCTGGAGAAGGGACATGCCGGGAAACACATGCCTGCTCCTTCCCGGAGTGGCCGGGTAACAACACCGCGGGGCACAGCCAGCCGCACAGACATCCCGGGCAGGGCAAGGGGCCGTGACACGGCCCTCGCGGGCTGCCTAGGGTTAGATGGCGATAAATGCAGCGAACGCCCGGGAGAACGGCTTCGGGGGTCACTGATAAAGGTGTCCGGTTTCCCTGCTGCTCCAGAGAGCACAACCGACAGGTTCAGCGAGATCACGTAGTCGTGGCTTCTCTGCCTAGAAACAGTCACGCTAATTTTGCATTTTTACCATCCACAGGGAGGAAAAATACCTGTCGTCCCGCAATGCAAATCCTTACGCAAATAGATCTGCGGGTGCACAGGGAGCTGCTGGCAGCCTGACCTGCCAGCCGAGAGTCACTGGCCCCGAGTTTAGAGGTGCCGGCCAGCAGCGGCATGCCCCGAAAGCACATGGGATCTTGAAGTCCCTCGGAACTTGCTGCTGCCTCAGAAAAGTCCGAGAAAGAGTCTGCGGTTAATCTCCGAGGCCTTCATACATCCCTGGCGAGCTGCGCCCCAGCGCTAAGTGCAATTAACATAACAGACACTAAAATAGGAGAGCGGCGCTGAATTTAATTTGCAGGCTTAGGAAAAAAAAAAGAAAAAGAAAAAAAAAAAACTTAGCACTTAGAGCGGTCTAGTGATGAACGCAAGAAGTGATATGGAAGGCGGCAGAGTAGCCCTCCTGCCTCAGAGCGGGGCCGCGGCCAGTTCCATGGACCCTCTCTGGGAGCCGGGACCAGCTTGGTGCGTGCAGGTTTCTAGACAGGTAAACTCCTCCGACGGAGATGCCGCCCGCTGCATCGCTCCAGCGCGGCTCGCCCCCACGGCGAGCGCTCCCGTGGCCGCCAGGTCAACCGCAGCGGGACCAGGTCGCCAGCGCGGGCAGGCACCTCCCTGAGCCTCCCTCTGCCCGCCCCGACACCCACGCACCTAGATCCGGCTCACTTTCCTGCCCCCGCTGCCCCTGGGTAGAGGGAGGACATGGATGGGGGGCAGAAGCGACGGGATAACCCCCTCCCCGCTTTTCCTTCCCCGCCTCCCCCCGGCCTCCTGCAAACTGCCGCTGAAGTTCACAAAAGAGCGAGACATAAAGAGATCGAGGTTTCCGAGAAAAGGGAGAGGCGAAAATAGCGAGGTAAAGAAAAAAGGGAAAAAAAACCCAAAAACATCGTCGCAACAGAGGGACCCACCGACCGGCTGGGAAGCTGGTGGTATCCGGCCGGGGGAGACGGGGGGAAGGAAGGAGCAAAGAGGGCTTTAAAAAACTGGAAGGCAAAAGCTGTTGGGGAGGAAGTGTAAACCGAGAGGGAGGCTGGGGGAGGGGAGAGAGCGCCATCTTTTCATGTCACAGTCACAGAGACAGCGCTGGGCTCGGCCACAGTGTCTCGGTTTCTTTTTAACAGCGGAAAACGTGCGATTAGCAGGCAGACGGGCGGAGACTAGCAGCCCTGCGCGCACACACAGCCCGCAGCTCTGTCTCCGCGCCGTGTAATCCCAGCGCTCAGCCCTTCTGCACCCCCTCATTAAAAACCCGGAGATTTCCTCCTCCTCCTCCGCTCTCCGAGGAAAACAACGCCTGCCACCGCCTGAACCCTGGCAGCGCCGCCCGCCCTGCACCGTCCGCCCGGAGGCCGCCCAGGGGCCCCGCGCTCCCCGGCGCCCGGCACAGCGAGCTGCGCGGTCCCCGTCACCCGGCCCCGGCTTCCTCTCGGGAGGCTGATTCTCGCCCTCCCATCGCAAAGGGCCGCCCCCGATGGGACGCACAGCGGGGGCTGGGGGTGGGGAAAGCTGGCTACAGTCCCCTCTACCTCCCGTTTCCGTCCCCAGGGGCTGGTGCTCCCCCGCTGCCAGGGCGGCTGCTTGTTCTCTCCCCCCCCCTTTATCCATCCCGAGGGCGAGGGTGGGGTGCGCCGAGCCGGAGCTCCCCGCACTGGGGCCGGCGGCGGGGAGCAGCGCCGAGATCGCCCGGGAGCCGGCGATCCCGCGGTGGAGCCGGGCACCGCCGCCCACGGCCCCATGAACAGCGCTTTATTCCGCAGCGCTCAAACCCCTCATTGTGTTTGGCAGAATCACCTGCCTCCTCCGGAGCCGAGCGATTAATTTAATGCGATACAGAGTGCGCTCCCTCCCGGCCCCTCCTCAGCGGGGAGATCTCCGCTGGGCGCTCCGCGCCGCGGAGGAGGGGCACGGCACGGCACGGCGGGGCACGGCACGGCCAAGCGGGCTGGCATCCTCCGAGCACCGGCTCTCCCGGCGGCGCCCGGGGAAACATTCCCCGCCCGGTAGCGGCGGAGCGTCAGCTCCAATCGGAGTCGCACACAAGCATCCGCCGCGCAGACCTGCTCGGTGCCCGGGGGGGCTGCGAGGCGGGCGGGGGCCGAGCCGTGCCTGGCCAGGGGATTTGATGGGTCGTTGGCTGCGCCTGGGGAAAGGCGGGCGGGCGGGGGGGGGTGGTTGGCTGCGCCTAGCGATGGGGGATTTGAGAGGAAAGGGGAGGGGGGCTGAGCTCGGTGGAGGGGGTGCTGACTGCCGCGACTGCTGGGGACGGCGGCTGTTATTATTGTTATTACTGTTATTGTTATTTTTAGGGGGCGGTGGTGGTGGGAGCGAGGGGGGCTGGGGCGGTCCGCGCTCGGCGGGGGGCGACGTGGTAGGGGGGCCGCCGGCTGCGCCCGCGGAGGGGGCATGAGGTGAGGGCGGTGGGAGGGAGAAGCGTCTCCTCTGTTTCTAATAAAGGAAACGACTTTTATTGAACGATAAATGCAGGGGAACGAAAGTCGTGTGGGTGCGCCTGGTGGGGGCGATTGATTTGGCAGGGGAGGGGTGGCGGCTGCCCGTGCCGGCGCGGGCTGTTTGGGGCGGGAGGGGCCAGCTGGCCTCGGCTGCTCCTGCCCGGGAGGGATCACGGAGAGGGGGCGTTGGCCGCCCCGGTGGAAGGGGCCGAGGGCTGCCCCTGTTCGTGGCGGGGGAAGGGGGGGCTGAAGCGGAGGAGAGCGGGATGCTCGCGGTGGGGGGTCCGGCGGGAAGGGGACGTGGGCCATGGGGTGGTGCCGCCTGCCCCGCTCGGGCAGGGGGGGCTGAGGGGGAGGTGTCGGCTGCGCCTTGCCAGTTGGG